CACTTCAACCTTCGTGAATCTAGATAAAGTCGTATTGCGTGAAAACATTCAGTGGTGGCTAACAGCGCATGACAAAAAAATTAATGTTCGAAAAAGTCGTAATTGAAGTAACTAATTATTCATAGGTGGACTTAATCAAAGATAGAACATGCAAATATATACTCGCTCCATTATCTGTTTGGCTGTTGTTTGAATTGATTTTCCTATTCTTGGGAATTAGCACTTGGCACTTTAATATAGAACTTTATATGAAAATTAAAAAAATTATCTGCACCGGTGGATTCATAATATTTAGTAGGAGGGTTGAAAAATAAAATAATAGTGTCTAGGATTTGGAATTAAAACTTCAAAATAAATTTTGAATCACTGAACCACTTTCTAGTCTTATGCATAGAGGATTCAAAATCTCTCTCTATATGTACTAAAAATAAAAAAATGAAATACTTTATATATATAGTATAATATTTTATCGAGGGGGTTCAAACAGTGACGGGGTCACATATACTTGACGGGTGTCAATCGACATCCTTTCGTCAAAAAATTATACAGTATAATTAGATAAAAGTATATATATAATATTTTATCGAGGGGGTTCAGACAGTGACGAAGTCACATATACTTGACGGGTGTCAACCGACATCCTTTCGTCAAAAAATTATACAGTATAATTAGATAAAAGTATATATATAATATTTTATCGAGGGGGTTCAGACAGTGACGAAGTCACATATACTTGACGGGTGTCAACCGACATCCTTTCGTCAAAAAATTATACAGTATAATTAGGTAAAAGTATATATATATATATAACATTTTTAACACCCCTTAATCAAAATTCAAACTCCATCACTTGGATTCGAGTGAACACTCTCCATCACTTGGATTCGAGTGAACACTCTTGCCCCTCCTACATCCCGCCTGGTGACCATCGAATATCCCAAGCTATGGGATATTTTTATCTTCTGTTTTGGGCATATTACCTCTTCGTTAGGCCTCAACTCACCACAACTAGTGGCGTAACAAAAGGGGAGCACGTGCGCAAATAACCTCTTGGAAGACTACTCCGTCTATCCACTTTTGAATTGGCACACTTATTAGAAAAAAATTATTGACATAGTGAATTTATCATTTTACTCCTATTTATTATGAAGTAAATGAATTAAAAACTTAAATTTTTTAAAAAGTTCTACCTTTTTCAAAGTAATTAACTGAGAATATAATAGGTAAAAAGAAATGGACAAATTACTTAAGTACACGACATTATTTTACCTATTCTCAATATTTCCCTACTCTTTTACTAAAATACAAAAATCCCTTATTTTCCCCCAATTCAACTTAATCGGATACTTTATTAGTTTAAGTATCCGCCCGTTATTAATTAAAGTATTCGCGCTGCTATATTATGCATCCGCCCGTTAATTTAAGTATCCGCTCGTTATTAATTAAAGTATCCGTGCCAACTACTTAATAATTTAAGTATCCGCGCTGCTATATTATGTATCCGAAAGACACTAAAAAAGAGATTTTTGGTAATTAATGAAAGAGTAGGGATATGAAGTAATTTATTTCTTATACTATGTGATTTGCCTAATTTTTACAAAAGAAATTGTCATTTCTTGATTTGTCAAAATGGACAAATTATTAAGGACAACTAAAAAAGAAAAAATAGACAAATAATTGGGACAGAGGGAGTATTATTTAAACATAATTGGAAATCATAAAATATTACTAGTATTTGGCTGTTTGAAATTGAAGTAAGTTGAAATATATGATTATCAAACTTCAGACATATAGCCTTATAGGCATGAAGTTAAATTCAACTTCTATTTTAACTTTGATTTGAATTAGGGGTGTACATGGTCGGGTTGGTTCGGTTTTTCAAATATTAAATTAAATTATTTGTGTCGGATTTTTAAATTTATAAACCAAACCAAATCAATAAAACTCGAGTTTTTCAACCTCGGATTTTTTCGGGTTTTTCGGATTTTCGGGTTTTTTCGGTAAAATATTCGTACAAACATATAATTTACTTGTACTTCAAATATTTCTTTACTCCTACCAAAATACAACTATCTAAGTGTTTCTTAGGTAAATAACACAAAATATGATATGATTAATGACACTAAAATATTCAAAAAAATAATAATAATGAAATCGCGTAAAACAAATATTGCAAATTAATAAGTCATAATAAAAATTATCATAATTTAAAAGTACTAAATCAAACTAAAATAAGTTTAATAAGTATTAGTTACATGACTAACTATTAAAGGAAATTAAAATTAGATTATGTATTTTAATTGTCTTAACCTATGTAAAACTAAAGAACAAATATTCTATATTATTGTCATTCTTAGTGTTGAATTGATTTTCTTTATGCATTAGTATTAATTTGATTTTGATTTAAGCTTTATTATAATTACCAATATTTATGGATTATAATCTTTATTGGGTCATTAAGAATTCTAACTTTCAAACATGATATAATATATTAAAGGATAAAAACTATGAAAAAGTATAAGAAATACTTAAAAATTATATCAAAGTAAATATTATTACGTATAAAATAAAATTTTAAAATTATATATATAATGTCGGGTTGGTTTATTTTAGTTGAAACCAAACCAACCCAAATATAGTCGGATTTTTTTTCCAATATCAAATCAAGCCACTAACGGGTTTTTTTTTCCGATTTGACTCGATTTACGATTTGGTTTGATTTCGATTCAAATTTTTACACCCCTAATTTGAATGAAGTACTTTGAAGGTTCAGGTTTGAAGTTAGGTTTTACAAGACTCAAACTTCAAAGCCTAATTTCATATCTGAATATCTAAAGTTCGCATTAGTTTATATGTATAATTTAATACGGTAATATGACAATATATACATCTCTATAAATCAAAGTAATATAATATGTTGATTAGTTTTGAACATATTTTTCAAATTTAGTTTTGAGCGAAACAACTCAAATACAAAATTTATCAAAATTGCCTACAAGTTAAATACTTCAGAAAAACTAGATAAAAGATAAATAGCACATGTAAAACCGGCTGTTGAGTACAAATCCTAATACAAAACGCTGATAACATGTAAATTAATTATGACTCTAATTATTTCCGCCAATTAATTTACAAAAAATATATAAAACATATAAATTATGTATACTTCTACTAAATATACATATAATATACATAGGGTGTGTTTGGTATGAAGGAAAACATTTTCCGGAAAATGTTTTCCAATTTTCTCATGTTTGGTTGGGTTAAATGTTTTGGAAAATGTTTTCCAAATCAACTCATTTTCCTCAAATTTAAGGAAAATGACTTCCCTTCAAAACTTAAGAAAAACATTTTCCAAACTCTCTTCCAACTTTCAATTAAAAAAAATTCTTGAAAAAATCAATTTATTTTGTCCCTACACTCAAACCAACCTCCCAACCACCCCCCCCCAAAAAAAATAATTTAAAGTTTGTTTTTAAATTCAATATTTTTACCCCACCCTCACCCTACTCCCACCCTCTACCACCACCCCTCCCAAAAATATATTAAAAGTTGTTTTTAAAAGATATTTCAAATTTCAAATTTTTATTTTTTACCCCCTACCCTCGCCCCCCCCCCCCCAGCCCCTATCAGCCCCCACCCCCTTCAAAAAGAAAAAAATTTAAGTTTGTTTTTAAAAAATATTATTTCATTTTTTCACCCTTACTCTCGACCCCCCACTCCCCAAAAAAATTTTAAGTTTGTTTTTAAAAAATATTTTCGACTTCAAAATTTCATTTTTTCACCCCTACCCTCGATCCCCCCCATCCACCCACCCACCCCCTACCAGCCCTCCCCCCCCCCCCCAAAAAAAAAAAAAGTTTAAGTTTGTTTTTAAAAAATATTTTCGACTTCAAAATTTCATTTTTTCACCCCTACCCTCGACCCCCCACCCACCCAACCCCTACCAGCCCCCCCACCCCCCAAAAAAAAATTTAAGTTTATTTTTAAAATATATTTTTAACTTTAAAATTTCAATTTTTCACCCCTACCCTCGACCCCCCCACCCACACCCTACCAGCCCCCCCCCCCCACCCCCTACCAGCCCCCCACCCCCCAAAAAAAATTTTAAGTTTGTTTTTTAAAAAAAATATTTTTAACTTCAAAATTTCAATTTTTCACCCCTACCCTCGAACCCCCCACCCACACCCTACCAGCCCCCCCACACCCTACCAGCCCCCCACCCCCCAAAAAAAAATTTAAGTTTGTTTTTTTTAAAAAATATTTTTAACTTCAAAATTTCAATTTTTCACTCCTACCCTCGACCCTCCCCCCCCCACCCCCTACCAGCCCCCACCCCAAAAAAAAAATTAAGTTTGTTTTTAAAAAATATTTTCAATTTCAAAAATTATTTTCTACTCTAGTAAAAATAAAAGAAATTTTTCAAAAACATTTTTCATTCATAAATCAAACACAAAAAATCTTTTCCGAAAAATATTTTCTACTCACCAACCAAACATGGGAAAATAAGTCAAAATCCAACTTATTTTCCAAGAAAACATTTTCTAGGAAAACATTTTCCTTCATACCAAACACACCCATAATTAGTGTATATATTTTGTATATTTGGCCATATCCTATGACCTCAAGATTAATGAGCCTTGCGAGCTTTCAAGTTTTATTGTTATCATGAACTATATACAATCGATCACATCAGATAGATATTCTTTCAATATATGTTATTGAAAGAATCTCGAAGACCCATCAAAGTACGAATTATGATTTTTCGGTTAATAGATTCCTATTCAAAATAATGAATGACCATATAAATTAGTTGACACTAACCCGTCAATTTAGAATTCAAATTCGAGATTTGGTAAATAAATTGGGCCGACTTGTTCATTAACTGGACTCTTAAATTGGGTCACAAAAGAGAAGCACAGTTCGGTCCATCTTGAAAATGCAAATTACAAAATCAGCCATTGACTCCATTAATGGAGGCTTAATCCTTGGTTGATCTCCTCTTTCTCTCTCTGCTTTTGCAGCTATGGCGTCTACAGTAACTCGCAGATTTACAACCAAACTTCTTAGAAATCCTTCATTCCTCAGAGATTCCCAAATAAACCCAAAACTCTCAACCCCCTTCAATTCGTATGTCAAATCAACTCCTTTTATCCAAAATCAGCCACCATTTCTTGGTATGGTTCAAAAGGAAATCAGTTATTCTCAGTATATGGAGAATCTCAAATTTCAAGCTCATGGATTAGCGTTTCCGAATCACCAAAACCCTCTTAAGATGAACCCCAGATACTTTTCATCTAGTAATGAGGATGGTGGAAACCCTAAAAGCCCTAGTGAGTATCCGAGTGAAAACCCTGAATTTAAGCACCAGGAGATCACAGGACCAACTGTTGAGCGTGACCTTACGCCACTTGCAAATGAGACCCGTGAAGTGCTTGAGAAAATGCTTAAGACAATGTATAGTTTGAGCAAAGCATTTGCTGTACTTGGGCTTATTCATCTTGGTTTAGGAGCTTGGCTTACTTACAAGACTCAGTCTTCCCCAATTCCTGAGATCTCAATACAAAGTTTCTTGGCTTTTGGGTTGCCATTTTCCTTGGCATTCATGTTGAGGAGAGCGCTGAAGCCGATTTACTTCTTTAAGAAAATGGAAGAACAAGCTAGGTTGCAGATTTTGACTCTTACTCTACAGGCTGCTAAGCAATTGAACTTGTTGTTTGTTCGCGCTCGAGGTGTTACTTACTCATGTGTTGCTGTTACATCCCTTGGATTGATCCTTGTTGTATTCTCTAGATTGAGTAATTAATTCTCTGCTACCATTAATACATCAATATGAACATGAATAAGAGTTGCCAATTTTGAATGTTCTAATCTTTTGATTTGAATCGCGCGGTTTAAGTAGTTGCAACAAGTGTTTGATGTTGAATTTGTAAGCTAAATACTGATCAAGATTAGATTTTCTGGGGAAGTTTTAGCGTATAATGTCGAGTACAATGAAAATCTATCATACCTTTGTTTTTTCTATGTCACTGTTCCATTGATGGCGGTATTTGGTGCATTTCTGATCCTTCTATTTGAAACAGAGCTTTGTTGATTGGGAAGTTTTTCCGTTGGCCAGTGATTTAAATAGTTGCAAGAAATGTTTGATGTTGAATTTGTAAGCTGAATACTGATCAATATTAGATTTTGACAGTTTTAGCAATGACTTGATTACGAAGAAACTCTTGTCATACCTTTGTTTTTGCCATATCGTAATTCCATTGATGGAGATATTTGATCTTACAATACTGGCTGTTGTTCTAAATTCACCAGAAGTCGATGTCATGGACAACGTGGAGAAAATTGCAGGTCAAGTAAAGAACTGTGAGTGCTTGTAAAGTAGCTTAAGCTATATTTGTATGTCAACATATATGGCACAGCATTTGCATCTTGCATGCATTGAACAATTATCTTTGCATTTGTGGCTTGCTATGTTCCTGATGATTGTAGTATATTTGAAGTTCCCAATGGAGATTGGTTTATCGGGATTGAAAAAAGAAACAGAGAAATCCTTCATTGATCGACAACATTCAGCACCAGTGACATTTCTGCGTAGCATAGATATTTGATAAAACGTGTTCATTTCAAGCATGTATTCTGGTGGAGAGTGTGTTTTCAAGTTGTTTGTCTAAGTCTACTTTTATTTCGTTTAGAGGAGTTTGATAAATGCAATTGAACTTCGATTTCAATATACAGTCAATTTGGCTGTGCTGTGTTATACTGCAATTTGCTGATAGCTATATCATCATGCTAAGTTCTATCTGTAAATATCGAAAACAACCTCCCTACCTTGCAAGGTATTGTGGACATACTTGACACTACCCTCCCCTGAACCCCACTTGGTGGTATTACATCGGGTGTGTTGTTGTAAATATAAAATATTCTACATTATATGGAATATCATCCATTATTCTGATACCTAAATGTCTAAATTCAATGTAACTAAACATGATACGTATTAAAGATTATCCTAGAAGTGCTCGTATCAAGATTGGACAGAGTAGTTGTGTGATGCAGCCTCTGATGTGATATCAAATTGTTTAATCTTGGTCATCGAATGAAAGTTGTTTGAATCTTATTTTTCTTGCATTATTTTTTTCTAGCGTGTGGAATCGTGCCTTGTATTAGTGAGAAAAGAAATGTTATATCATTAGTATATATCTAGTAATTTACAAATGAAAAACTTGGTAGCTAAGAATTAGGGATTCGTGATCTGTTTGCTTGTTTCCTGGAAATTGGTTTAAGTCTTGAAAACAAAATATGGGAAGTTATTCTGTACATATGCCAGTGGGAAATAACAAGTATAATGTGAGGTGAGCGCAAGCTAGTGTGAACACTAATGTTGTAAAGAAAGTAAAATGTTGGTTTCAAGTTTTTTTTTCAAAAAGTTTATGCAAAATGTGCTTTTTTGAAGAAACTGTTTGAAAGGGTGTTTTTTTCAAATTAAAGTTCTATTCACAAAAACTTTTATTGACTTCTTACCTAAAATCTAAGACCCAATTTCCCTTCCTTTTTATTCAGTACAACAAAGAACACACACACACATTAGGTGGAAGTACTGAAATAGATTAAAGACAAACTACAAATTCTATTCTTGAAAGCATTTTGGTTGGGGTTAAGACAACAGATTACATTATTGGCCATATACGAAAAGATTAGATGATGACCAAGTGAAAAGAGCTACTCTTCTATTAATATGGCAAAGTTGTGGCCTTGTGGGTCACCCACCATTCATGATGACTCAAAAGTGTAGCGGTAAAAAAAAAAGTCACGCAGCGAATCAATGGATCACGCACTTGGAGACAATAACAAAGGCATGTTTGATTCTTCAGTACGTAGCAAAGTGTTAAAAAGAGTGAAGTATAGAGATAACGGTAAATGTGAGGAACGACACGAGTTCATTGTGCCTCTAGGAACATGCTATCCAATTGAATTTTTTTTATTCATCTCATATGAAACTTAAAAGGATTCCGAAGAGCCCTATGTCAAGTGGAAAATGCAGAAAAGAACCAAGGAAATTTTGGTAAAAGATAAAACGATCCCACATTTAGCTCGCGGTCCATAGATTTTTTCCAAGTAAAGTGCAATTTCAATCACAACTTCAAAAAAGCTCAAATTTTAACCTTCAAAATCTGTGGCCAAACGAAAGCTTAATTTGCTAGAAATAGTAATAGAATCTCAAAAAACTAAAAATATGGATGCAACAATTCTACTACAAATTAAAATCAATGTACTAATAAGTTAGCAAAATTGTTAATGTATATATACAAAAGAATTTTGTTTTTTACCTTATTTACCCGAGATTCAATTGGAACCACCAAATCTCTAGCAAATTAGCAATTGCTAATTAGAAATCATGGAACCACAAATCTCTAGCTAATTAGCCATTAATCTGAAATCGAATCACGCTGCGAGATTTCCTCGATACCGTATTATACGTGACAAGTTAGTATTAACAGTCGTCCGGCACAAAGGGCACGTCTCGTTATCTTCTAACCAAGGACGAACACAACCAACATGAAATCCATGGCAACAAGGATGAAGAATAGCACAAATTTCCCCTATTTTAATTTCCGCAATACATATCGAACAATCACTGTTTTTCACTACTTCATCGCAAATACCAATCGCTACTTCACCAGCTCTATTTTCCGGCGGATATGAGGAGATTCCATCGGCAGGATTATTCGAATGCGGCGGCGATTCTTCGGCGCAGCAAACAAACTTTTTCTTCAATATGATGATAAACGGAACAAGTAAAATGGCAAAAGTGATGAGGAAGATATAACTTCCATTGATATTTGGCATCGATTTGAAGATTATGGAAGAAGACAAATCATCAATTGATCATTTGCTGAATATATTAGACTTTCCTTTTTTTTTAATTTCTTAATAAATTATTATGAAAAAAGTGATAAATAATTAATTAATTTTTGTTGACGTGGAGTGGGTCAGGTGACTCAGGTCTTACGTAATATGGAGAAGAAACGGTCCAATTTGTCAATTTGGCTAAATTCAAAAGTCGGTCCTATACCATTTCTTTATATTTATTTATAATTTTTTTGTTATTCTCTCTTCATTTGTTTTTTCTTTAACAAATTGAAAGTTCATATTAATTTGGAACCCTTTTGGGAAATCGATAATTACTGCTCTTTGAATACGTAGATGATAAATTTATTTTTATGTAATAACTTATAAATCACACTGAAAAAATATAATTGCTCTAGACTCGAGTGAGAAGACCTTGTCGGGAGAATGATCCATAAACTCTCTTTATTTAACAAATGGAAAGATTCATGTTAACTTTTTTTTTTTTTGGAAAACCTTTAGAAAACTGATAACCGAAATTCTTCAAATATATGGGGTATATTCGTTTTTTTCCACAATAACTCATAAATTACTTAGGAAGCATAAATAAAACTAGACAAATTTAGTGTAACAAGTTTGATTGAGAATTGATCCATATTCTCTCTTTATGGGGCTACATGGCACAAATTCAGTGATTCTTACGGATGCATACACCATCAAAAAAATATATGACTTTCTCTATTTTATATTAATTGAATTTGTGAGGCAATGCACACATATTAAGAAAAATATTCAAAGACATAATTTTTACTATTACCCATTGTGAAATCATAAATAGTATAACTTTGTAAGTGTAATTTATCTCCTAAAAAATGTAGTATAAAATTTCAATAAATGAATAGACAAATATGGAAAAAATATATCAAACATCCATCTTGAATTTAAACAATCAGTTTTTGAACAATGAAAAAAACCTCAAAAATTCATATAGAGACGATCAGAGTACTTGTTTTATCTCAATTTATATAATTGACAGTACATACTCTATCCGTCCATATTTAGTTGTCATGTTTGTTTTTCGAAAGTCAATTTGATTAATTATTAAAATTAAATTAGATTTACATTAATTCGATATTTTAAAAAAATAAATATATATATTCAAAAACTATATGAAAAGTACTATAAATTATATTTTTTTTACATATCAATATAATAAAAAAATTTATATTATAACATGTTAGTCAATTTTAAAAAACATGACAACTAAAAATGGATAGAGTGATTAAAGTATTTGTACTAGTGTTCTCGCTATCGAATTTAATAGGCTCTTCTCTTTCTCTCTCTGCCCCCTCTCTCTTTCTCTCTCTATCTATATTTTCTCAGTGGATTGGTTCTCTGAGAGAGAGGGGCGTTAATCTCGGTGCTCCAAAATCCGTATCCATACTGTTCCTTCGTTTGCAGGTATTTTTTCTTCTTTTTATCCCTCTGGGTATCTTCAAATCGCTAAGCTTATTGTACTGATTTGTTTCTGTTACTTTTTTTTTCTTGTTGCTATTTCTACTCTTTAGTGAAGCAATCTGCACTTACCCTATTGTTTTAGTCTTGCTTGATTTCTGGGGGTTTTGAGAATTTAGTATGAAGGAATACGGTAGATTAATTGGGATTTTTCTTGATTGTTCATTTGATTTGTCGAAAAAAAAGTAAAATGAACAGTAAAGAAGTTGCATTAGAACCGTTCACGAATATTCAGGACGGTTTTTGGTGAAACAATCTGCACTTGTCTATTGTTTTTGGTGAAACCGTTCACGAATATTCAGATCATTGTTGTAGGACGGATTTTGGTGGGTGTTTTGGATCCCTTTCTGTAAGGCCCCCTAAAGAACCCAAAATGGCCCCTTGTCGTTTTTGTTCATAATATACTAACTACTAGTTTGTGTGCTTAAATCTTGGAATTGAAGTCTTGAGTGTTCTTGTCATCGATTCTGTGCATTTTTCGAAAGTACTTTGTTAATTTTTTTATGTAGAATCCACTAGCTTTCGCTTACAATGTTTGTCAGCAGTATGGTCAAGTGAATTTTCTTGTTATGACTGATTCTTGATAACTGATTTGAACTGTTATAACACAGTGTTAATAGCTTTGTGTTACTTCTTTCTCCAGGCACATTTCCTAATTACTTGAATATTTCCTACCAAAGCAAGGTTACCTCTTATCCTTTGAAATGTTCAGGCTTAAGAAGTCGCTCTTGCATAGGAATGCTAGGAATCACTCTGTGAATCCTGGATCCGGTGGTTATTCAAGTTCAAATCCTTTTGATTCTGACAATGAATCTGACAACAAGGAAACTATAAAACCTGCTCGGAGAACTTCGTCAGAGCCTTCTCTAATTACCCCACATTTGAGTACAAACCCTTTTGATGATGATGATGATATTAAACAGTCTCATTCATCTGCTTACTCCGCGACTTCAACAGAAAGAAATAGATTCAAGAATGAGTTCAGGGACTCTGGAGGATTTGAAAACCAAACTGTACAGGAGTTGGAAAACTATGCAGTACACAAGGCTGAAGAGACAACGAAGGCTGTTAACAATTGTCTGAGGATTGCAGAAGACATTAGACAAGATGCAACAAAAACTGTTATCGCCTTACATCAGCAGGGTGAACAAATTACAAGAACCCACCTAACTGCAGCTGACATTGAACACGACCTTAGCAGAGTATGGTTTTAAAGTCTATGACATTTGTAGTTTGCAAAAGAAGAACTTGTTGTGGATTAGCATTACCCGTTATATCATCATGGACTACCAGTACCCATCAGTCATTCTTGTTTTTGCAATTTTTCATTCTTCAGTCATTTCATTGAATGGTTCATAACATTGTTGAAATTTATGCTGAATGATAGGTTATTTCCTTGTTCATTTGAGATGAAACTTTATATAGTCTTTAGCAGGGCATATAAATTTTGTTTTAACTTATATAATGCATACATAACTAGTCTGCTTCAACCCGTTCCACCTCCTTAACCTACATTTGACTCGTAACTACTAAATTCTTTGTTAGCATTTCTTGATCTGGAAGATTTTATGTCTGCTATTTCCTTCTGCCATTGTGCTTATCATCTGGTAACTAAAGCTTCAAATTTAATTACAGGGTGAAAAACTTTTGGGAACTCTTGGTAGCTATTTTTCTAAGACTTGGAAGCCTAAGAAGATACGCTCAATTACAGGGCCAGTAATTACTAGAGGTAACTCATCAGATTTTATTCTTGCTCATTAAATATGCTTTGGTGTTTGTGAGCAGGGAAAAGAAAAAAACTAACAGGGCATTAAGATATAGAAAGCATAAAAAAATATGGGGAGGTTGTGGCTATTGAGTAAACTGCTGATTATCTTTTGTTGTGGCAGATGATCCAGTTCAAAGAAGGGGTAACCACCTGGAGCAGAGAGAAAAGTTGGGGTTGAGCTCTGCACCTAAGGAACGCTCAAGTTCACGAACACCACCTCAGGAACCTACTAATGCACTGCAGAAAGTTGAGGTACATACAATGTTACTTGAAAAAACAGAGATCGGCATTAAGATCTCCTTTATATAAATGGTTCAGAGAATTGATACTGGCTTTAAGCCGTTGCATGATAGGAAGATAAACTTTGGGTCAATATAGTGACTGGCATTAAGAACTCCTTTATATATTTGGTTCAGAGGTTGATATTGGCTCTAGGCTGTTGCATGATAGGAAGATAAACTTTCTCTTACTTATGCTTCCAAGACTTAGAAAACAAGTTGATCGAGTCTATCAACTGGCTCGTTTTGCTTATGAAGTAAGGTTAGCAATCTCTGAAGCTCAGTCACCTCTCAATCCTGGAAATTCCTCCTGAATCTCAAATCCCAAAAAGTCCCAACCCCTTGTGTCCCCCTAACCTGTTGAACAATCCATTCCCTTTGGCAAGTGACCCTAAACAAAATAGGGATTTAAGTTCCCCTTTATTTGAATGAGGAAAGCAAATTAGTTTGACAGTACCATAATTCATGGATAATTTGACTTGTAATTGTGCACTTTGCAATGTCTAGATGTAAAAGCTTAGAATTTGCGAAATACTGAACGATGGGGGTGGGGGTCGGTGAAAGCTACACCACACCACGTATGACCAATTGGAATCAACAGTCTTTTGTTGCATGGCTGCTGACTTAGCAGCAGTTGGTTTGTTATAGGTTTAGGATTTGATTGAATTTGGAGACCATTTTCTATTTTCCTATCTATGGGAATGTCGTCATTCTAACTTTTTTGGATGAGTCTAATTTTTTCCTTGAGTCAAAGGTCTATATGAAACAGCCTCCCTACCCCACAAAGGTAGGGGCTAGGTTTGCGTACACCTCATCCTCTCCAAACCCCACTTGTGGGACAACCTTAGGGTTGGAGGTGAGGGGTGCTTACCATCCGAGCAACTTGGTGACTTGAACCCACAACCTTAAGGTTGGAGGTGAGGGGTGCTTACCATCCGAGCAACTTGGTGACTTGAACCCACAACCTTAAGGTTGGAGGTGAGGGATGCTTACTAGCCGAGCAACTCCCTTTTATCAATACTGGGTATGTTGTTGTTGACTTTATTTCTAGTGACTTCATTCTTAGAGAACTTGTTTCTTCAGTTGGAAGTCCTGGTAATATTTCTTTTGGATACAAATTCCAGATTCTGAAGTAGAATAATGTTTGATGATTTATAGAAACCCTACTGCTTTCTAGCTTCAACTCTCGGCTAAATTATAAGGAATTAGAGGAGAAGGGAAGGTTACATTTGATAGAGGACTACATGGTTCATGGGCTATATCTCCACCTTTTTTTCCGGGGTGTTGGGAAAGAGTGATCTATTCGTGTTTCCTTGTGGAATGAAAGAGCGGGTCTGATTGGAGGGGTAGAGAAAGAAGTGAATGTGAGTTGGACAATGGAGAGTATCACTCTTGCATCTTATTAAACTACAAAAGAACCTCTTTTGTCAACAGATTAAGGGAAAGCAATGGAAACAACTCTAATCATTTTGGAAATTTGACAGGTTGAGCACGCGAAGCAAGATGACGCATTATCAGATCTCAGTAACCTGTTGGGAGAGCTCAAACATATGGCTATTGACATGGGGTCTGAAATCGAGAGGTTAGTATTCAAGATAGTGAAATCTTTTTTAAAAGGATCATCAGCATCCTTGCTCTTTTCCCCTACTCCTTTCCTCTTCTTATTTTACTTTCATGTCCTGTGTTATTCCATACTCTAACCACTTCTAAGAATTTCTGCATATGTTGTTGGATATTGTAGGCAGAACAAATCCCTGGATCATTTTCAAGATGATGTAGATGAGCTCAATTTCCGAGTTAAAGGTGCCAACCAGCGTGGTCGCCGCTTACTTGGAAAATAACCTAGCACTTATCTCATGTATTAGCACTAGATATTAACGTGCTCATGCTTTTTCTTCATAATGCCAATTCTTTCATCTGTTACTTCTGATTTTTTTTTGTAAACGGGTGACATCAGATCGAGTTAATCAATTAATTTCCTGGTAATCGGTTTGCAGATCAACAATTTACTGAAATTTACTTGCTCTTTCTCATTTTTCCATTTTGCAAGCGTATTATACCATTCCTTGCACCGTTTTTACCATTTTTTTGGACGTTCTGGACAAGAGGAAGTTTATTTGCCTAGAGTAGCCATCAAAATCTTTGACGTTGCAACATACTTAATCACAGAGTACAATAAAAAGCGCTTACAATGCTCCCATGATGACGAATGGTGACATTTGAACACACTAAACTTTAAAGAGCAGAACTGGGAAATACTATTGTTGTTTTCCAAGATCAAAATGCCACAAGACTCAAAGTAATCCCACATAAATCAGCTTTCGCAGGATCCATTTCATGCACACAGGAGATATAATGCAATGGAAATACCAGTAACAGGCACAAGCTGGAAAGGAAAAACAAATTTTCATATAAAGAATGCCTTCATAGCTTTTGTTTATGCAGCAATAACTCTGAAGCCATTGCTATAAAGGTCTTTGCGTGGTCATGGTCAAAATGATGTATCCTCTGCAAAGTAACATACACATGAGGCAGACTGTAACTTCAGTTAGTTTAGTGGGTATTATAGTCTATCTGTCAACATGTTGAGCATAAATTGGTAAAGATAAGCTGGTGAAAGCCCTTCACATCAGTTTTGAAAACAATAATCAGAAAAGACATTTGGATAAGGAGAGGTAAACGAAGGCAAAGGTTTTCAGGGTTCCCTTAAACAAAGGGAAACAGGAGACTGAAAGCTTGAGAAGGAGCATGAGAAAAGGAAGACACTCAGCCAAAAAAGAGAGGAAGAGAGAAGCATATCTAATCCTAACTTTCTGGTCAGCATAATATCAATAGAGGATGATAAATTGATAATGGAATTGAGAAAGATAGAGATATTGTAACCTTCTGTATGTTTTGGTTTCTTTCCGAAAGTTGTTGAAAGTAGCCTTCCCCTTTCAATTGACATATAGTCCCATCACAGAAAGACAACTCCACACGAAAAAACTGAGTTCACCTTTGGTTCAATTCTTCAAGGGTACTGATATTCAAAAACCTCAACAGCATTATTGCAAACTAGAATTTCTAGGTTCAGGTACTTCTTACAGCTACCCTCAGTGGTTTGTTAAAGCTGCTAAAGGTTACAGTAGTTTGCCTTCAGTCATCAAGGCAAAGTCTTGTTACTATTGGACATGCAGTTTCCTGATCCCGCATAATTCATAATATCAAAAGTAGCAAGCTTTTGCAGAACACACTGTAAAATCTTACAATGCTTGTACGACAAACAAGTGCAACATCAGCTAAAACTGAATCAAGGTACTCCCACAGTCACAATCAATAATCTGAAGAACTTAACCAAATCCATGTACACAAGCATTCTAGAAACCAAGACTTATGGCAGATCGCCAGCCAACAATGCATAAGGCATAGTCCAGCAACCAGCCAATCACCGGGCACATGAAAACAACAATCTCTAATCTATTCTACCAAACATTGTTTATCAAATTGTGCTAAGCTAACAAAAACATTCACCGGGCACATGAAAACAACAATCTCTAATCTATCTACCAAATATTGTCTATCGAAAGCACTCAATTCAATTCAACTCAAAACAAGGTTGGAGCTTTATGAAAAATCGATTCTTTCAAAAATACATAGCCGAGGAATATCAGTTAAAGAACATCAACAATACAGGGCAGTGACATTCATCACAATTAACATTCAATTGTACAAAAAAGAACCAAAACCCTAGGGTTTCTACAAAACACCATTCATAACTCGAGGGATTCACATCCATCATTGCTGAACAATTCAACGTTCACAGAATTATTCTATTGTTTTAATTATCAAAAAAGGATTAAAAATGACGACAATTCAATGGTGTTACTGGTTCAATTCCATAACGCTTTTGACCTTGGGTGCGTAGAGGGAGTAAACTACGGCCTGTCTCTTGGCAACCTCGAGCTGGGACCTACCATCGGAGAAAGCAGCGGTGACCTTAGATGGATCCGATAGGTCTTTGTTCTGGCGAAACCCATCGATTGTTCGGCGCTTAGTGTATTCCCTAACGTTGTAATCGGGAAACTCACGCGCCGTCCGTAGAAGCGACCGGAAAAGAGTAAGGACTTCCACGCGTGACGGCGACGCCATTTTTCCTTTAGAAACAAAAACGCCGAGAGGTTTTCCGATTCAGGCGAACGATTGTGTGAAGAGGCGCTGCTGAGGTTTATCTAGAAAATCTGGGGTTTTAATAGCGAAAAAGAAAAATATTTTCAATATTCCACCGTTGGCCCCTTAAATATCGACAATCATTTTTATTTTATTTTTGGTAGTAATTTTTTGTGCTACAATAGGACACTTCCCCCTAGTTATTTTTAAATTAAAAATCCATCAAATATGTGAATTTATTGCCGACTTTAATTGAGTATTATAAAACTCAGATTTGAAATATTTCACTAGAGCAGTTAGGGACGAATCTAGGTAAGAGGAGATAACTGGACAAGTGTAAGTACTAGAATCCCAAAAAAAATATATTGCATGTATAAGATATTTTTAAAATTTTAGTGTATGTATGTATATAAAATTTTGAATCTCATGAACATAAGAAAATATTTTTGTATGTTTAATGGGTAGTTAGTTACATCCAAAGCCAAAAACATAAATGAAAAAGGATAAATGTAACAGAGGTAGAAAAGTTGAACTGGTATATTTGATTCTATAATGAATTATTCCATGTAAAAATTATAATCAGCTATAAGGGGTTGTAGCCACATTTATATTTGTATTGAAGCTCTCAATAATACCTATCTACAACTGGGAGAATTAAAATTGGGGAAAACAATGAACTTGATGGACAATGGTTCAATAGATATTGGAGAGTTAAGATTTGCAAGGACTGGAGACAAGCTTGGAATGTCTCCTGTTTCTGTGAGTCGCAATAATTTCCCGTTGAGGAGCATTGTTCTGCTTTTAATGTTGCCACCTTCTGGTGTTAGATGGTACTCTTCTCGCGATAATGTAACATCTGATGACTTGGTTCCTACCCATGACACACTTTCTTTAATACTGCGCGCGAATGATTTCTTGTTGTGAACCTTTTTCTCACCAACTTGCAAGCTGGTTTCTGCAGTAGAGTGGATGTTGACCTTGTACTGAATCTGGGTGCTTAAATTTATCAGAAGTAAAGTCACACCTGCCTGAACCAGTGAGTTAATACGCGGTTTTGGTCTTTAGTAGTAGTATGGATATGCAAATAATCAAGTAGAGATTTGAAAGACAGTAGGTAGCACATACACATAAATGAGAGTTCAGTGGGTCATTTGATATTTGCATGAGATCGAGGGAATCAAGAACAACAAAGTGTACGCAGACCTTTCCCCTACCACGTGGGGGTAGAGAGGCTGTTTCCAAAACTACATGGTGCTCCTAGACTCCCACAAAGCCTAATCCCACTGAAAAGTTGACAATGCATAAGTTGAGACATTGGCTGCAATTCTGATATGCAAGAATATGAAGGTTGGTTTTCGAAATAAGGCAAATGACAGAGTCAGTGGGTACAAACTCAACCAGGCCCGGTGTTTAGAAAATACCAAATAATTTAACCTTGACAGTGAAAAGCTAAAGTTGAAAAACACAGGTCATGCATTAGTTGGTTTAGTGTATACACCTGGTGCAGATAAGTTCATAATCAACTAAGGCTTATTGCATAGCCTACAAATGGAGGAGTGGAACATATTATATCTAGTCAACTTTAGTTATAACTGCCCCTGTAGGGTTCACAAACCTAAATAGCATATAGTCCTTATGTGTCAGAATCCAAAACAATATCAGAGAAACACTAGAGTAATTGCATCTTTGTTAGTCTAACTAGGAGCATATCTAATGTCGGAGACTCCATAATATATGTTATATGGACATGATAGATTATGCAACTGAAAGAAAACAAAGGAAGCAGTTAAACACAACAATTTCATTTGGGGAACCTTTAAAGCACTTGTTATCAAGACAATTTTCCAACGTAGTAATGCATCACATATTGCATAAATGAATCAGGATATACACATACTCTATCTTTTGTACAATGGGCATAAGTGCGCAAATGTGGTGCTGCACTGTTGACAACACGAAGAACTACTTTTCCCATCAGTCTATTCCAAAGAAGTGCACTGTATCAAATTGAAAACAGAAGGATCAAAACTTTTTTCTTAGATTCTCACTGACTTTAACAACATGAATATGAAAATTAACAGCCTGCTCCTTCTAATGATAGAGTGAAGCCAAACTTGAATAAAGTAGTCAAGCACCTCACCTATAATAATCAGGATTTGGAACAAACGTATCGGTATCAAGGAGCCCATAATTTCCACCTATAAGCGTCTGTCTGCAGTATACTTTAGTATGGTGCTTGGCTGCCATCCCAAGCTGATCTAAGTACCTATATTCCATATTAAAGGTCTTTGGAATTGTTTCACTTGACTGCTAGCTAATACTATAAGTCAAATTAAGCAAGAAATTTTACCAAAAGCTATCTACAAAGGCGTTAGACACATCAGGACCTCCACTGTTGAAGGCTCCACCAGATTCTCCAACCCAAGCTGAAGCCCAAGGACCATTTCTTAGAATGGTTTGAGTAAGACTGCTGAATGTGCCTTCTGTTCTACTCAGGTATTCAGGATTTAAAATTTTATCCACTAGCTTGCTATCGGACCCTGAAACAGAACATTTCTGGTTTAATTAACATAAATAAATTCATCAGCTCCGGAATCTAGATAATAGAAAGAAACTACATAAGAATAAACCAGAATGATTACACTCTTTCTAGATCTTTCGAACCACTAAACAATAATCACATGAAGAATAGATAGAAGCGGTCAATTTTTCAAGGATGTAAATGAAGTAATAAGATTAAACCAGTATAAAATTTCAAAAACAACAGCAAAATGGAGACCAAGTGTCATATACAAAAAAAAAAAAAACATTTAAGATTTCATCACTGGTTTTATGAGTTTAAAGTAGTCTGTTCATAATTAAAATTGAAGCTTACTTTTATCAATACGAACTAGATTTTCTAAGTCGAGGAGGTTTTTAATATAGCTCCAGTCTTAAAGGGAAAAAGATTCGCACTATCTCACCCGGACCAAGATTATAAATATGATGTGTCAAGACATTGACAGTGCCACGCCCTGAAACCTGAAGGAGCTTGCCGAACCACCCAGGATCATAGAATCCTCCTGGTGCTAATAGTAGAGGACGTACGGGGGTGTTCTGATATACTTGGTTTAAGAGATTGTGCAGCTGGATAACATCTTTTCCATACTGTGCAGCATCAACACTTGCACCAATCCCGCTACCACTCAATTCATTTCCTACAAAATGATAAAAGCATGGTTAAGGAAAGGAACCTCTGTGGCTCTTATAAAGGAGAGAGCTATACATAAAGTTGCAAGAAGAAAGAAACATGCCAGAAATTATACCAAATTCCCATGAGTTTATCTGGTAGCCCTTGGCAACAGTGTATTTTATGAAATCAAGGGCATTGCTGGAATCCCAATTTCCTACCCACGCGTGCCTATCTGTCGGTTGTCTCCCATACAGTGCATTCAAGCCAAAAGTCACAAGTGCTCTGCAGCAAATGCAGTGAAACTCGAATGAACTTCAACGGAGAAACTTTAGAATCATGGAAACTTTTCAACAGTCCTAAAGTTATTTTACTTTACTTTTTTGGTATAAATCATAGTCCTCAGTATAAAAAGAAATATTGATTTCAAGCACAATATTCCACATTTTTAAGTTTCTCAAAGTTATGGATGCACATTTAGGATTCAGAAGTAGTGCATAAAAGAGTCATGCATTAGATGTGGAATGCCATCAATTTAGACCTTCAAAGAGTCATTCGAAAAGATGAAAGTGGGAAAATTCGAGCATAAACCAAACTTGGGGGCGAATGTTTCCTCTTGAAAGTGGTAAATGGAAAGAAGAGAAAAGAAAAATAAGTAAAGAATCACGCCGTAATGTGCAGCCTAGGAGCAGACCAGATTATTAGCCAGGACACGGTTACATGCATTAGGAGAAGTACAGAATGTGCCAATCTTACCCTGTCTTCTTGAAAAGGTTATTTAGCTCATCCCATCTCTGCATAGGTAAGCATCCCTTAGAGAATCCAAACAACCCATCCTTCTGCTGGGTGAATGAACTGCAAGGAGATTTCAAGTTCCCTACGCCATATATTACTTGGTCTTGTAAAGAACCTCCAAGCCGTAATCTCAAACCCTTGAAAGCTGTATCACCAATAAAAGACACATAGAGAAAGAAGTTCAGTTTGCTTATCATTATAAGTAGAGCATTTCATATTTTAAGGTGAAATGACAGCATCTTGGGGTCTCAGTTTGCTAATTATGGTAATAACAAAAACAACTTGGAAATAAGTTGAAAATTATGGCATAATGGTACGTGCAAACCTCGTATAGCATTCTCCAGATATGGATGAGTTAAATCCTGACAAATCAAAACACATTCATGAACACAGACTTAATCAGAAACTCGATAAGATATTTATACTTTTAAATATTAAAGAACAAACATATTCCTTCAATAACAAGCTAGTATGAGTTACCAGGTTTATAATAGATGCTGAACCCCAAGGACATTGATTGTAGTTACACTTCTCCTTAGGCCACCAATCAATGGTAGCACCAATGTAATTAGCATCTGTCCAGGCAACTTTCGTAGATGCATCAATCGTAAGTACTATTTCTTTAACTGTTTGTGCTGAAAGTGCAGGGCATAGTGCCAAAAAGATTAACAACAAGGTTCTGAAGTCCATTAGAAGATTAACCTCCACGAATTCACCGCTGTTTGAACCTAATCATATACTGCCAAGAGGAAGCAACCAAATAAATGTTAAGAGACTTTTAAAGAGTAAGTTATTCCTTCAAACAAGAATACAAATATAGTAACATTCATTGTAAGTTACTCTTTCTAACAAGAATACAAATATAGTAACATTCATTGGACAACATCATACTCAAGTACTGTGTTTTGACAACTACATGTAGATTTAACAAAATACAACAACATATCCGGTGTATTCCCACAAGTGTTATCTGAGAAGGGTAGAGTGTATGCAAATCTTACCCCTCGTGTAGATAAGTAAGAAAATATGAATGAGAAATGAGGAAGCAAACCAAATTGTTTTCTTGCTTACATATAAAAGAACCTTAACCACTCTGAGTCAGTCAAGTTTAACCAGATCAAGAAACTTATTTATAAAGGACAATAGTAATATAATGATGGAGACGGAAATTCCAAAATTGGAAGTTAATTTAAACACTGCATCTATAAATTCAGAACCAATTAAAGACTTATACTTTTTTGTTATTAGTTTTCAGAAAACTTTTCTTCACGTCTAAGACAAATATTCCACCAGCAGTATAGTAAAGTCCACATCAACACACAATACACAAATTCACCAAAAACATTCAGCTAACAAGATCCAAACATAACCCAAAAAAAAAAAAAAAAAGCCCCTTACATTCTCTGTTGCTCCAACTCTTCAAAAATGCTCCAAAAATAATATCTTTATTAAAGATTCGACACGGATGGGCGTCATTTTTTAAAGAGTACGAACAACATAGCTTATATTAAAATCTAAAGAATAAAGAACCAACGGAACTTCACCTCACAATCCAGATGAGTAATAACGTCCAACACTAATAATGACACTAATCTGAGCTCAAATTCCGAGAAAAAAACAGCAAAAACAGGGTAAATGACAAGAATTGGGAGTAAAATGAAATGGGTTGGGTTCAGATTTGTGAGAAATCAGATAAAGATTGAATCTTTTTGGGTGAGAAGTGTCAGAATCAACTAACAGTCATTACTCATTCATTCAGTTTTTGGTAGATATGTACAGAAACAGTGACTCGTGTAAAGTGCAGACAAATAATTGGAGGAAATAGAAACTAAAGATAATTAAATACTCCACCACATATGATGAGTTGGATAGACTTTTGTCCAATTATTATTTTTTGTTGAATTCCAAGTTGTCTTCAGCTTAAAGTCAAGCCTTTACACCCAATAAGCTAGCTTGATTTTTTTCCGGAAAATTTAGTATCTCGATTTTTCGAGTTTCATATCTGAAGTTTTATATGCATAAGTTTTCTACTCCTTTTGTTTCTTTTCGACAGTCAATTTTAACTAATTTTTTAAAACTATATTAGATTATATTAATTTGATATTTTAAAATATTTAAAAACTATATGAAAAGAAATATAAATTGCAACTTTTTCCATATTGATATGATGAAAAAAAAAAACTCATCTTAAAATATTAGTCAAATTTGTATCATTTGACTCCCAAAAAGAAAACTATGACAACTAAAAAAGAAAAGAACAGAGAGAGAATTTACTATTGATTGTTGAATAGAAAAAAACAACAACTTATAATTCGAGATATGAAATTCAAAAAATCTACTTTTTTTTTAAATGATATTTTTGACCCTGCACTCTATATTTATTGGTTTATTTTAGTGATAAAGAGACAATATTTGATATTAATAACTATGCAAAGTAATATTAGTAAAATAAACTTTTTAAAGAAATGTATTAGGTCAATAATGATCAACATAGAGACTTAAAAGACTTTAAAAAATGTAATCGATCAACAATGATCAACATAGGAATTTCAAAGAATTTAAGAAATGTATCAAGTTAATAATGGTCAATATAGAGACTTAGAAGTTCTTTTAACAAACTTATACACCATCACTGGCTATATATTAATTGGGACGTGGTGATTTGAACAAAATCACTCCTTAATTAGGGATTTTAAATTTAAATCTCGAGAATAAAAAAGCCACCAACAAAAAGTTGTTTCCTCTTTATAGCCCTATGTGGCAGTTAAGACATAGTTTTTAAAAAAACTTATATGTATTATATAATATATTGAATTATTATTTTGTTTTAAAAGTGACTGTATTATATAATATATATTGATTTAAAAAAAAAAAAGTGATATGTATTATATAATATATATATATTGAATTATTTTAAAAAAAAATTGTCTGTTTATTTCTTAAATATTGATATTTTTTAATAATTTTTTTTGCTCCGACACTACTTAATTATTGTATTCTGTTATTCTAATGGGTAAAAATTGTGATAACATTCATACTATAGTTTATATAGTAAAAAAGGTCAAAATACTTATCAACAGACAACATCAAATGGATTTTGGTAAAACTAGGTGCAAACAAAACCACTTAGCTTGTAGTCAATTATTGATTGATATATATATATATATATATATATATATATATATATATATATATATATATATAGGATGAAATGAAGAACTACTAGAATTTCACTATTATGATTTGGAGAGGGCACCATGTAGATAGATTTTTTTATTTTTAATAGATTATCGGTTAAAGTAACACATATTTAAATCATTAAAAAATACATTAATGAAGATATTATATAGAAAATGGAGAAAGAACAATAACAACAACAAACAGTACAATAAACAAAACAAAGATATATAACAAACAAGTAAAAAAAACTCATCAAAAAAGTGAAAAATAATAAGAGAGTATTATTATTATTAACAATACAAATAAGGAGAACTCAATAATATCAATAGATTACCTACTAGTTATTTATCTTAATTCTCGATTATCATATTCTTCTATCTAAAATCATGACTTACTTACATATATTCTTCGTTCTACTTTTGCCTTCTCTTAAGATTAAAAGACTCGATTAAAGAAAAATCAAGCAGAATATACATATTACATATGAGAAAATAGAAAAATATACCTAGCAGAATATAGTTGTTGATCACTGATGAGGCAGCAGATAGTGAAAAATCATATAAAAAAGTGAATAAATAGAGATTTTTAAAGGTGTTTGAACCGTATAAAATTAAAGCTCAATGAGTGTAATTATAGTAGGAAGATTTCAAGCATTAATTGAATACTTTTATTATAATTGATTTTGGTCACAAAAAAAGTATATGCTACTTTTTATCTGTAATAACCACCGACATGGCTAATTTTAGTTATTATTATTTATTAGAATTAAATTAAAATCAAGATCTCACATGAAATCTTTAAAAAAATAAAAAGATCTTACATGAAATATTCAATTGGGCCTAAGGTTTTATCTCTAAAAATAAAATTCCAATTGAATTAAAGCATAGTTTTTACACCTATTTATAAAGGCCAGGTAAATCTTAAACTTTATGAATTTGAAATTTTAATTCTTAATTAGAAATTAGAATATGTTCTAAATTTATACTCTGTCTATTCCATATTAAGTGAATTATATATTGAGACTTTTTCATATTTCAAAATAAGTAAATTATTTAAGGTTCAAATGTTTTTCTCCATAATTATACATCACTTTATAAGGTTATTGACTACTTACATTTTCTCGAGACTAATTTAAAAAATAATTTAAAAAGATGATAGTGAAAAATAGACTTAAATTTATGTTTTGAATATATTTTCTTTTGAAAAAATGTAATATTTTAATAATTTACTAACTATAAAAATTTTAAAAGTTATTTCTAAATATTTAATAAAAATTATTAAATTTAACCGAACTTATTACGTTAGTACATAAATACACGTTTTCTTTTTTAGTACACCAAACTTACCACCTCCCCCAGAAGTTTGTAACTCAGCAAGGTCCCACTTAGGAACTAGAGGGGGTACAAATGTAATTTCCTTCGATTTTTTTTTTTAAAATCTCCGACAAGTTTAATTAGTTTGAAGTTTCAATAATTAATATTCTCTCTATTGCAATTTAAGTAATTCCATTTATTTTTTCTTTATTTGATTTATTTTATATTTAGCTCTAAATATGTATTATTTTATCTAAATTCTCTATCAATCAAATAGTATTATATAAATTGACACGTAGAAAACATGTAATATGAAAGATTTGGTTAAAGAAAAGATAGAACATCGACAATTTCTAAATTTACATGTGAATTTTATTTAAACACTTAAACTATGATTTATTTAAGTTGAATATATGATAAAGTGTTTTTATGAGATATTTTTAACTTGAAATTTTGATAAGTTTTCTGCATAAACTCTCACAACTCATTTTGTAGATACGTTAACTACTAAAATATATTCTGCTATACATATTAGCCACAAATAAATCATAAAAATCTTTATTTGTTTCAATTCATACTCATGTGTATAATTACATGAGGAAATACATTTTATGCTATTAACTATTTTAACGTAATGTATGCTTGATAACACGTGTCAAATGAATTTCCAAAATATTTATCGAAAATATCTAATAAAAATCCACGTATTTAAATGCTCAACCATAACAAATATGACACTTACTTTCGGTTAAAACTTGACCAAACAGACTATTAGTTACTCGTTTTAAGTAGTTTTCTGTGTACTTGAAAAAAAGAAGAAGAGAGGACATAAATGTCAAAATGGACAAAATTAGAGGATATATTAGTGAAAAAAGAAGTCCCGAAAACACCATCTTCTTCCTCACAGAACAATGCTTCCAAATAAAAAATTGGTTTCACACATTCTCTTATGCAGTTAGGTTCTTTAATGGAGGTCCTCACTACTCACCCTAAAAAAACCCTAGAAATTCAAAAAATGAAAAAGGAAGAAAAGTAGCCCTTAAAAGTTTAGCTCTTTGGAGTTTTCCACGAAACTTCTTTGGAAAATTCTTTCTCCCTGACTGTTTATTTATATCAAAATCAAATTTTCAGCCGATATTTATTAAAGGAGGTAATTTTGAGGTTCGGATGGAGAGAAATGAAGGAGGGGATAATCAAGAAGGTTCTGGATGGATGCAAGTGAAAAAGGTGTGAACTTTTTGTTAAATTGAATCATTTTAGTTTTTATCTTTAAGCTGAAAGATGATTAAGAAAAATGGGGTTTACTAATTATAACAGAAATCATCAAGAACCATGTTTAAGTTGTGTTATGGGCCTAAATCAAGAAAGTACAGCCTGATAATCTGGTGTTTTAGGTATTATTTTGGATTAAAATCTTGAATTCATGTAGATGGATTAGTTATATCTTAGTTATCTGATAAAGATTTAATCATTTTCAGTATGTTTCTGAAATTGGATTAGTGGGTTGCCTTAGAATTGGGGATAATATTATTGGACCATTTAGTAAAGAAAATGGTGAATTAGCCTGGATTGTTTCATATTCTTGGATCCTTTAGTCAATTTGTTAATCAATGTGTGAACTTGTTGTGCAGAAGCACAACAGAAACAGTTCAAAGTTTTCGCTGCATGGTTGGGTTGGAGGATCATCTCAAGGAACTGCTTCTGGCCATCCAGAGAGTCAGCCTTCATTGGCTGTAAAAAATGAGGATCTTAAATCGTCTGTTCGGCATTCAAAAGGAAGTCGCCCTGGTATTATACGTGATGGCGTAATGTCAGTTCTGAAGGAAGATGCAGTGATTGTGCACGATAAATGTGTAGTTGGTCATTGTAGTACTTCTGTTAGTTTAGGTTTTTCAACAGATTCGAATCAAGGAATCAGTAGGGAAAATTCTCAAAGAATTAACCATGAGGTCCTACCAAAAATCAAGTGGGGTGACTTGGATGATAGAGGTCTACCCTCTCCTTTTGGAAGTACTGCCCAAGCAGAAATTAAGTTTGGTGACATTCAAAATCATGATCTTCTTAGTACAAGAACTGATCAAACAAATGATTCTTTTGCACACACTTCTATAACTGATCTAGAGAAAAATAGATTGGTTGCAACCACTGAGGATGAAAACCATCAAATTCTCGACTCTCATCCTTTGTCTCCAAATATGAAGGAACTATCTTCAGAAGATGCTAATGCTACTTCTGCTTATACCCAGCTTGAAAAAGGTGACACTTGCGAGAAGGTTAAATGTGCTGCCAGAGAAGGGCCT